GCTGTGCAACTTCGTCTCTTGGACCGCAGCTTTCAATATACCATGCCGACACATGAAGACGGTTATCTCCTCAATCTTGCTCTGTAGCCCGTTGCAGTTAAATTGAAGGAGCCTCATGTGGTTCGGGGGACGTGTCGTGATGTGGGGTGTAAGTGAAGTGAAGCGCAACACGGGCCCTCGAAGTTCCCAGTCCAATCTCGCGTGGTACGCAGACCTGAGCATGCCCCAAAGTGGCACCAGCCAAGGCAGGTGTTGCACTTGACTGATGTCACATTGCGGAATATCCTGGTCTGACATACCGTGCAGATTGTAGGGGGAACCAGGAGTTGTTGGCGGCGGCGTGTGAGTGGTGGTGCGGTTGTGTGTATTGTGTGGTTTGTAGTGGCTGTGGTACGGTCTGTGGTGTTATTATGTTGTTGTGTTGTGGTGACTGTGTGAGGCTGCTGTGTGAGTGTGTGAGGCTGCTGTGTGAGTGTGTGAGGCTGCTCGGGCGGACGGTGGTTAGCCGAGGAGGCTGCTCTGTTTGAGCAACAGGGGGCCACGTACGACGTGGTCCACAGTCTATGTGTCCGCAGTCCCGAGCAGACTCTGAGGTGACTCCACCCCTCGCAGGCACACTTGACTGAGGTGGAGTTGTGGTGTAATCGTCTCCGGCATACACAGCAGGTGTAGGTTTCTGGCCCTGGGTTTGACTCGATGCCAGCCCTGAGAATACGTAGTGAATGTAGCCCTATGGAGGGACAACTTCTGAGATACTTCGCCGACCTAAACGGGGTTAGATCGCCGAAACAACAGCCCTTGGTCGGGTAAAACCCGAGTCATTCCGGTACGTAGAACCGGCTGTCGTGGGAATGTCCAAGCGTGATCAAGAATAGTGGTTATAAGCTTACCTTTGTTTTATTTTAGAATATATGATTTGTAATTCAACGTATACATTACCTTTATCTATATTGTAATATTAATTATTATCTGTATTTTTTATTTTATTTCTTGCAATTTGTTTGTATCATTGTGAAAGTAAAGATTACATCTTAATGCACTAATGTTTTCAATATAATATTAAATTAAATTAAACTAAAATTTCGATATTGTATTAAAAACTTATTGTTTACTATAGGAGGGAAAAGTTATTTTTATAACACTGTAGGGAAAATTTCAAGTTTTCAAATGACCCAAAAAACGCCGAGATACGTAAATTTAATTTTGGATCCTAGGTTATGGATCTATACACCGTTTTTCCATATCAGATCATTTTCACAAGATATTTTAATTTTTATGAAAAAATTTATGTGTATGTGCTTTATTTTGGTGCGGTTCACGTAAGTACGATAATTTATTTTGAAATAGAATACTATTATACATATATATGACAAAAAAATCTGCAATGTACTGTTTTAAGTCCGATGATAAAGCTCACAATTTATGAAACTTTAAAAAAATTTATTAAACGTCAAAAATTTTATATAAAACTAGCTGTTTTTTTGTATCCCGGTTGGTTCTGTACTTGTAATAGTATATTACCATGGAAGACGTTTTAATTTGTGCCGTTTGTAAAAAAAAGTGATAAGAAAATATTGTTTTCTGAGGAGACATTAAAAAAATGTCAAACTGCTTTGAAAGCCAGAAAATAACATAACCTTAAACATAAAGATGTTATTTTGCCTGATGAATATACAGACAATGGTTATCACCGGGAATGCTATAAAGCATTCACAGGACTTATGACAAAATTTACCACTTGTGAACGTTTCAATTCTGGAAAAAATTGTAAAAAAGAAAAACCGACCAGCGTACTTCCAGACAATTTACCTCCAGCTATGCCGTTGATACCTGAGTTGACCTCCGAACCATCTAATTTTCAGCCATTATCAACAATATCTTCGACATCACAACCAACTTTAATTTTTCAATCAATAGAACCACAACCTTCATCTTCTCAACAAAAATCTAATTTACAGTATTTACCTACAGAATCTTCTACAATATCACAACCTTTAATTTCTGAGTCAATAGAGCCACTTACTCAATCTGTAACTTTTAATGAAAACTCGGACATTTTTGAACCAGAAATTAGTGACAACGATTAAAAAAAAAAACAAAAAAAAACCTTTAACATAGAAAATGTTACTCATACGCCATATACGATGTATTTACGATTACGGCCATGTACGATATGGCGTATGAGTAACATTCCCCCTCCTACTTCATGCAAAAAATTATTGCATACTTTCATTTGACCATTCAAAACTTATTTGTTTATCCATCGATTTTCATCGTTAGTAACTTGATTTTTTGGCAAAAGAACAGTTCTTATAAATTTTATATTCTATATTTCTTATAAAATTTTGCAAAAAATAGGCTTTGTGGCATAGCGAATAGCCAATGGCTTTTGTAAGAAATTGGAATTCAACTTGTAAGGACCGCCGTCTCCGATAAGTAACTAACAAAGTATAATTTTTGTATGTAACCCTCGCTAGGGCAGGCACCTTGTCGTTGGTGCGGGGGCTTAGCTGCATCACCAACCAGCCCTCTTCTGGTTTGAGGTAACGCGGATGTGCAGACCTCCGCGCTACCTTCTCTCTAGACTTGGGCTGCTGGAGAACAGTGACCAAGAACTGCCACCTCCTAATCCAGGGTTTTAAGCGACACCGTGCCTATTGGACGGTTTGCAGCCAGGAGGGTATAAACCGGCTGTATTTGAACGGCGCCTTTCCGACACCGGGCCGCATCGGGGAGTAACGGTGGCCTTACCGCGACAAGGGGCGTTGGCGCGGCGGACCTTTGAAGATCCCCTATGAAAATTTAGACCACTGAGCTCGCCTCGTCGAGCAGGTGGTCTTACGAACAAGATGATGACAAAACAACAAAAAAAACAACCAAAAAACCAAAAAACACAAAACTCGACAGCCACAACAACAGCTAGCACAGCAACAACAACACCCGCGGCTTCAAATGCGGTACCGGGAAATGGGCCGAAAGCAGGGCATGTGCCCTTTCCTCTTCGTTGCCTGAGTACGTGCCATTGGCTAGCTGGATTGCTAGTCTGGTATCTGTATGGTCCCTTGCCAAGGCCTTGTGTAGCCTGGCAGCTGAAGGAGTCGATGAGATGCCCTCACAGAACTTCCTGAAACTGTCGCGTTTAGCCCTCCTGATTTCTTTACTGTAGTTAGTTAGACTTGCTGAATACTCATCCCAGCGCCCTGTGCGCTTTGCTCTATTAAATAGTTTGCGTACCTCCTTTCTGAGCACCGATAACTTCCGAGACCACCAGTTGGGCTGCGCCTTCCCTCCTGGTTTTGTCTCCGGGCAGCTTGAGTGAAAGGCATCTACAATGGCGCCATTTAACTCATTGACGGTGCTCTCTAGGCTCATGCTGTTAGTGTACCTGTTCCTGGACTTAATTCCAGTTAGGTTTGACTCTAAAGTCTCGCTGTACTTTGTCCAGTCAGTTTTCCTGGGGTTCCTGTTTGCCTGCCTAGTTTTGACTTCTACTCCCAGTGCAAACTGGATAATCCTATGGTCTGACAGTGAGGGCTCCGATGAGACCCCCCACTGGGTGACCAGAGGGCTAGCCAGTCTGTTGCTAAGCGTGATGTCTAGTACCTCCTCTCTAGCCCTCGTTACAAATGTCGGTGTTTGGCCAACATTGTGGATGCTTAGTTCCTCACTTAAGATGTACTCTAGGAGACACTCACCTCTGCGGTTCGTATCCGTGCTGCCCCACTCGACATTGTGGGCATTCGCATCGCACCCTATGATGAGGTGGAGCCGTCTCTTCCTGCAGAATTCCACTAGCTGCTGTACCTCTTGCGGAGGGGCGTAGTTGCTGTCCCCCGGGAAATAAGCCGCGGCAAACACCACCTCTAGGCTTCTGCCACTTAGCGAGAGCGACGTCTGCACCGCGACCAAGTCCTGTGTTAGAAACTCTGTAATGCAAAAGTAATCAATGTTCTTCTTAAGCACCACACATGCTCTGGGCCTATCGCAGGAGAGGTCCCAAATTACCTTGTTGTTGTTGTGGTTGAGGCCCCTAACCTGGCCTCTGTAGGTCCACGGCTCTTGGATCAGTAGAATGCCCAGGTCATCCGTGGCGAACCTGCTGGAGATGACCGCCGAAGCAGCCACCGCATGATGCAGGTTGACCTGGGCTACTGCCAAGCGACGCGTGGTCATAGTTGGGGCTCGTCGAGATCGGAGAGCTGTAATTCGCTCTCGCTTCTCCTATCGAGCTCAAGTCGCCTAAAGTCGATGCCTGTTAGCAACTCCTGCGTGGATGGCACGTCTTCCGCTGGCTTGGTGGTGGTGGCTGGCTCGGACGTGCTTGCTGGAGTTGGTGTCTGGGTGAGGGGTAGCTGACTGAGGGGTGGCTGTGCGAGGGGTGGCTGTTCCGCCGGTAAGGTCGAGGTTGACTGGGTCGTCTGGGCAGCGGAGGAGTCGGCAGCCGCCTCGATTGGGGTCTCCTGCGACTCCGACTCCTTGCTACCTGTCGCCTTTTGTCGCCACGGCCTCACCGTGACGAAACTGAACCTATAATTCAGGTTGAAGCCAGCCCTCTTGATGCTGACGTAAGATTCCTCATCTATGCCCAGAAATAGTCTGAGCCCGTTCTCCTCTACGGAGCTGGACACTACCTTCCACGCAGAGATGTGGATGCCCTCATTCTGCGCTTTTAGTAGCCCCAACGCAAACTCCGCCGACTTGTCGGCGCTCCTAGGCAGGAACACCGTGATGTTATGCACTGGAGGGATGTCATCCCCCCTCTTCGTGCACATCTCGGGTCCCTTCCAGCCCTCAAGTGCCGGTGCTTTCTTCACCAGCCAGGTTGCTGTCCTCTCGTCCCTGCAGTCTACCAGTAGCATGCCGGATCTGAAGTACACACCACAGAACACCAGCGGGTACGACCATCCTTTAAAAACCTCTTCCATAATGGCATCCTGGAGTCTGGTTAGGTCTTCCGAGCTCAGGGCAGCAGCTGGATACTCACAAGGCAGCACAGCTACCCGAATGCCTTTGAGGGCTTCCGAATAGCTGGGTTGCTGAGTGGAACCCCCCTGCGCCTGTCCCTGCTCGATCGGCCCGCCCAGGCTCCTAGACCATGAGTTCGGAGGGGGTGGCTGCTCCCGCTGCCGTTTGGTGCCCGGTGTCCCTGGCGGAGTGACCTGGTTGCTACCTCTTTTGTTGGAGCCTGTTGGTTCCACGCTTTTCCGCTTTTCAGCGGGCGCGGGTCTGTGCTGCTGTTGTCGCTGTGGCCCGCTCTTCTGCTTTTCAGCAGGTGCGGGTAAGTGTGCCTGTTTGTGGGGCCCGCTCTTCCACCTATCGGCGGGTGCGGGTTTGTCGCCTTTCTTGTGCCTTTCGCGTCCCTCATTCTCGATCTCCATACTGACCTCTGTCATGGCTCTGGCTTCTACTGGGGGTTTGCCTTGCCCGAGGTACGAGGTCCATTTACCCGACCTTAGCCGCGAAGCCGATCGTCTAGGGACCCCGGCCTGCGCGCATCGGAGGAGGCTTGGCCCTGCGGTGCTTCCTACTCCGTTGCTTCTGCCACCCGGAGTCGTCGGACGCTGCTGAGGCGCTTCTGCTGTGCGACCTATGGAGTCTCTCCTTCTCCGCCCGGTGACCGCTTTCGGAGCGGCGCCGGCTCTTGGAGCGCTGCCGGCTCTCTGAGCGGTGTCGACTCGTAGTGCGACGCCGACTACCCGAACGATGCCGGTTCTTGGAGCGGTGACTACCATCGGTGCGGTGGTGCTGTCTGACCTTGCTGTCTCTCTGTACCTGCAATGAGAACTCGTAGAGCGACGCCGACTACCCGAGCGATGCCGGTTCTTGGAGCGGTGACTACCATCGGTGCGGTGGCTGCTGTCTGACCTTGCTGTCTCTCTGTACCTGCAATGAGAACTGCCGGACCGGTGTTGCGGCCGATCTGGTTCGGCAGGTAAATTGTGATTTCCTGTTAGATTTCTGTTATTAGAACTACCTGTTTTGCTCTGGCCCATGCGACGTAGCGCATCTGCACTGGTTCCTGGTTGGTCATCGTCCCTTGCATGTTCGATGAACAGCGCTGCCTCCTCGGCGGTTAACTGGTCTAGGAAACTGCCTTTCCGCCCAGCACTTCTTGGGCCTTCCCACGCGCTGCTGTTTCTTGGCGTCTCCAGTACCTTAGTTGTGCCTGTTACAGTTACACG